TTGTTTTGATGTTCTTCAGTGGCGCAGCTTTCGGGCATGTGACCATCTACATGACATACCTTTAGAGTGATGTTTTCTACCAGGGCAGCAGTGTCTTGCCACAATGCAGCAGCCCAGATGGGTTTACCCCTGCGCTGCCAATTGGTCTTCTGCCACTGCTGTAGCCACCCCCATGGAGCATTAGCCACCATCCATCAGTCAGTATAGAGATGGAGTACTGGCCACTTTTCTCCTTCAGCAACCTCTAGGGCTAGTTGGATGGCTTTCACTTCTGCAGACTGGCTTTACTCACCACCTCCTTCAGTGGCTTTGACGACTTGTCGTGTGGGACTCCACACAGCAGCTTTCCACTTCCGATGGTTTCCTACAACATGACAGGATCCATCAGTAACCAAAGCATAACACCTTTCATCTTCTGATAACTCATTATATAGCGGTGCCTCTTGGGCACGAGCCACCTCCTCAGGCAATGCTCCAAAATCTCTGCCTTCTGGCCAGTCCACGATCTCTTCCAGGATTCCTGGGCGGTTGGGTTTCCCCAGCCGAGCCCATTGCGTGATCAGCGCTACCCAGTTACTCCACGTAGTGCTGGTTGCGTGATGTGTAGAGGGCATGTTTCCTTTGAACATCCAGCGTAGCACAGGCGATCGCAGTGCCAAGAGGAACCATGCTTCTGTACCAACTTCTGAAGCGGTTCGAACCCCCTCATATGCTGCTAGTATCTGTCAGTCAGGGTGTAGTGGGCAGGGTAGGTAGCTGTTTGATCTTCTGTGTTCACAGTGGCTACACCAAAAGCCCACCGGTATCCCTTTGGGTCCTTGAAGTACCCTCCCCTGCGGTAGTCTATACCAAGGATACACGGGACCTCTGGGCCGGTCACAGTGGTGTGCTTTTGCCACTTGTCCCTTGTTAAGCTCAGCTCAGCCTCCAATACAGACAATTGTTGGCCTCCCGCTGTCACTTGAGAGATCCAGATGGGTTCTGTGCCCCAATGCCCTGATGGCACCAGCGTACACTGTGCACCGGCGTCTACCAAAGCCTTCTACTTCCGTAGGTCTGATGTGCCAGGCTGTGCTGGTTTTGGCTGGGATAGAGTTAACTTTCTTCACAGTAGCTAGTATGGGGCTGTGTTT